AAACTGTAATCTTCATTTTCGTTACACAAACTGGACACAGATCTTCACCCGAAAGAGTCTTCCTGGAGATTCATTGACTCCAGTCATGCGTCGGTCTAATCCAAGCAAATGTTACAAAGTGGCCCCGCGAATTCCGCAACAGAATTCCCTTTTTCAATAGACGCAAAGCGAAATTCTACGAACAACACACTACTCGCGTGCCTCCCGATCAGTAGTATCACCGTTACACCGGTAGGGTGTTACAGCTGAACGACTTCTTTTTTATTTTTCTCTGCGGGAGTCAAAGTTCTTCCAGGGGATTCGCTTATGGACTTTGAGTACGTGGTCGTTATCACTCTTCTTAGATTAGTTCTATTGTAACTATGTGCAATCCTCGCTGGAGTACAGCCGTGTCGAAAAACAAACAAACAAGAAGCATAACAACTTTATTCCGAACAAACGAGTGCGAAAATCACAAGGAGCATCGCGGCATTTAAAGCGCACGTTTCACCTTTAATGCGGGCTGTCCGATCGGTGTTGGGTGATTGGTGGTCATTTCTTCTATGGCCTTACTCGTTTGTCTAAATTATGTTGTATAGGGGAGATAAAGGAGGAGGGCGAAATGCCTAATTCTATACTGCTATAAATATCTGGTGGTTGCAGCTCCATCACTCTGTCAACCAAGATAGGAACTAGCTGCGCAAACACCGTCTGTACCATTTTGCAATTATACGTTTCAGCGCTTTCATGTAAACACAGGCCAGTCGCCCTGAAGAGCACTGGTGGCATCAAAAACTCTCGGCATAGCCGTCATTCTCTTCTGGCAGGTCATGTGCTAAAGCTTTCACCTTCAACAGCTGGATGTTTAACTCCCCATCTCAATGTCACTGGTGAACTGTAGCAGTCGTATCCAACGCGCCCACGGCCCACGACTTATTTGTGAACAAGTAACTGATAGGTTTTGGGGAGAGAAGGTCCGACTCAGCCTGTTACATTCAGCTAACGATCCCCTTTAAGGTGATACGTAATTCTACAGCCAAACAATTTCTTCTGTAAACACCTCTGCTGTTCGTTATTTATTTCAGGTCCTGCAATCTTATCCCCATGAACCAGAGCGATGGTTCCCCAGTTTCTTTTTTATCTTGGGCCACGAATGTTACGAAATGCTCGAATCCAGCCTTTGATACTGTACTCTCACGTTCCTGGACGGACATGGGAAGACAACAGGATGTATTAACAGTATTAACCGGCATCACAAAACTCATTCACGACAAAGGCGGTACAGAGTCTGCTGCTGAATACTACGCCGCCCTGGTGAGTTTGCCTACTTTTTCTTCATTATATCGCTACAGCTCACTGCGCTGAACACTCAGTTCACTACGAAAGCTGCCGAAGCCTACTTACTTAAACTTATCGTTTGCCGCGCGTAAGTCTGTAGCTTACACATTTATTTGCCCGTCAGAGTTCCTGATCTGCTCTTGCGGTCAACCTTTGCTGAAGCTGCCAAGATAATTGTTCACCTTTTGGGTGCTCCTGGTTCAAATACGGTGGATATTATTTTGTGTAAATCTGTAAGTTTTGTTTGCCTGCTCAATTCAGCACTTTAGCTCATCGTTTGTCTCGGTCGTCTGTTGAGCGCTCAGTTGCGGGAATCATGGTCTCTGGAATCCGTGAGACACATTTACCGTCATCTTTTGCGTTTCGTTGATCATGAAAAACCGCCCGTTCGCAAATCTAGTCATGTAGCTGTGCGCACCATCTTAAATGTCGCGTTTAATGAAGGTACGGCGAAGTTCCACCCTGCATGCCATCAAACCGTTGAGAGCCTGTGCACTATCATTCGACAAGAAGTTCGGTAGGTTGATTTACCGTCATGTTATGAATCTGAAACCCTCGTGCTGTTTACTCTATGGACTCTTTCTCAGTCGACTTTTTATTACTGCCCTTTCCGCGTCACTTTTGCTCGATACAAATTCACTGGCTGTATATCAGAGGCTGTGACCTCGGAACCAGCATTTTCAATAGGATAGTTGGTAGCCACATTTGGCCGTTTCAAATCTAATTGGTAAAAATACTCGACCACTTTAACAACGTTCCGTTGGTAGCGCTCGTTTTCTTTTTAACTTTTGCTGACTGCTTTTTTTTACCTGGCCTTTATTTTTGGCGTCATCACACTATGTACTTCGTCGTCCAAACTACGGGACAGGTATTCTTGTTTCCAACCGACTGATTGCAGAAGTCGCATATCCGGTTTCACCAACATTCTAGCTGACATCTGTCTTTTCCACAAAGAAGTGCAATACTCACTATTCAGTCGAAACTGAGACATTTTAATTGTTTGAACTCAAATTTGAAATGTTTTGTCCGAAGCCCTTACAAAAAACATGTAGCTTCAGGTCACTCGGGGAACCTGCAATCAACGCACCGGGAAACTGGAATATCACAAATCCATGCACCGAATATGCTTTTGTTTCAAAACCAACTACAGCGCCTCGAGCACTTATTTTGGGCTTTCCAGGCAATGAGTACCTCCGATCGCAAATGGTTTGTTCATTAGCTAACTCACCGTACTCATTTTGGCTTTGAATCTACCGCGCGCTGGAGCTTAATTTTTCCTGTGGTAGTCTAGTTTTGTCTGTTCTCCCTTCCCATAACAACCCTCCATCCAAGGAACACCTCGGTGGCTCCCAGTTTGTTTACATTATGAATGAAGCATTATGGGCATTTTCGTGACATTAATTTTCGGGAGCCAACTTTTCTCGAAACGTGAATTTTTTACGCTAGTGAAATTCCTTGACAAATTAATGGGGAACATCACTGTTACGGAATAAAACCAAAGCAATCAGTTTATGGGTGGATCAAAACTGCACCGAGGGCCGAATTTCGCTTGTAGCAAATAAGACTGGGTTGGTTCCATCCAGAACAAGCCAGCATATTCTAGTCATCACTGGATTCTGGATGACCGCAGCTGACGACATTTTTTAAGCCGTGACATTACGACGTTTCCTCTGGCGAGTACTCCGCAGCGCTTTCTGTTTCATTGAAGAGCGAGACAGAGCTATCAAAAGGTTCTGTTCCCATGGTTGTAAGACATCTTTGGGTATGGCTGCTGGTTTGGGACAGTGAAGTAAGGGATCAGCTGTCGAGAAGTGAATGATCCTGGTAGAGAAACAGCCATCTTCGGAACTCCACGGTATCAATCAGTAACTTGGCGGTATTTTGTGTCTCGATATTGTCTCGCGCAACATCGATCTGACCGCGACTGTGTTTAGTGTTCTTATGTAGACTTATAGTTCTTAGAATTTACGATTTTTTTTGGCTTTTTTTCGTTCTGGCTTTCTAAATCCAATCTCCAGCCTAATGCGTCCGGATGAAAAACTGTCTACTGCTAACCGTTTTTTGTAAGGAAGACATATTGTACCCTATAAGTCCACTTTGGATTACCTACGGAGGGAACACTTTCCAGTGAGCAGAATTCATTTTTATCGTCCATAACCAATTGATTTGGTACATTACACCGTGTGGGATGACCTGCGACTCTTAACCCAAGAGTTCACGGTTGTCTGCAGGCTGGGATACTGATAGGGGGAATAAGGTTCGCTCCCAACCCGAGTTGCTGGCTTAAATCATGGCCTCAGGCAGTAGCTGACACCAGTGGAACGTTGCAGTAGCTCAAATGTTAAAGCAAGAGTTGCAGCGCTTGTTCCGACTCCTAACCTGAAGGGCTAGGAGGTGAATTCATCAAGCTTCTACCCATGATCGTGTTTGGTCTGATAGACTGTGTCATCAGCGGGTTAGGGACTCACGACAAAGTATCATACAGCGGTAGGATCAAGTCTTATCGCAACTACGTTAAAGGTGGACGTATTATTCACGTGCTGGTTTTGATGTTTCTAGTTCATTTGTTTGAGTGATTTCAGGCCTACTCTGTACTATACATATATACCATATCTATCTTCAAGTGGGGCTCCGCTTTTCACTTATCAGTTTATCATTTCTCCCCTTATTCGTTGTTAACAGACAGCTCGTAGCGGTTCTGCGTACTAAAGAAGTTCATTGCATCCGACTCGCTCTCAACGTTTGTTCCGACTCCTAACCTGAAGGGCTAGGAGGTGAATTCATCAAGCTTCTACCCATGATCGTGTTTGGTCTGATAGACTGTGTCATCAGCGGGTTAGGGACTCACGACAAAGTATCATACAGCGGTAGGATCAAGTCTTATCGCAACTACGTTAAAGGTGGACGTATTATTCACGTGCTGGTTTTGATGTTTCTAGTTCATTTGTTTGAGTGATTTCAGGCCTACTCTGTACTATACATATATACCATATCTATCTTCAAGTGGGGCTCCGCTTTTCACTTATCAGTTTATCATTTCTCCCCTTATTCGTTGTTAACAGACAGCTCGTAGCGGTTCTGCGTACTAAAGAAGTTCATTGCATCCGACTGCTGCATTGCTTAGAATTACTGACATCTATACTGCCCCTGTTACCATCGAAGGAAGTGAAGGCTGCTTGCGAGTGCATCTTAGAATTGGTTGAATTTCCAAATCCATTGGTGAGTCCTATACATGGATCGGCTTCTGATGTGTTCCCCCACTTTCCCTGTTCAAGCAGAAAGTACTCATACCGATGGATTAAAGCGTTTTGTTTGTCAGCCACTTATGGACGTGTTACTGCTGACAAGTTCCAGAAGGCCCTTTTGAACTGGGGCCACGCACAGGCTGCTGTAAAATCCGTTTTGCCTCGCCGTACAACTGGGTTTTGAGTCAGAGAAAGACAACCCTGTCCTATCTCATGCAGATATCATTCATCGATTTGAGTGACCGGAATATAAGTCCCTACATAACTAGCTGCTATTGTACCGGTGCCTTTTATGTACAAATGCATATGTGTATTCATTTGCGGCTATTCGCAATGTCTGCGTGGAGACATAACATTTCAATTAAGAGGGATAATCACCTAGACCTGGCATGTTTGTTCAGTTCTTGGAGATGTCCACCCTTCAGGAAGTAAAGAAGGGTTTGGAGAATATAAAGTGGACCATCATAAACGGGAGCTTCAGCTGGATTAATTTGAGTCTTTTTTTCAAAACCAGATTCGTACGCAAATGAGAGTGTTTGTTGAAATGTGTTCATTTTGGGTTCGAGTAGAACATAAGGTTGACTGAAACTCGGGGACTACATCTACCTGATGAGCCCAAAGAAAGGTGAAACCGGTCGCGAGATGTCGAAGAATTTTCAGCAACCTTGTGAGTAGTTGACATTAGATCACATTAAGGACCATGGTTATTTCTTTTGCCGCTAGAACGTCGTCGGTGACATGTGATCCACTCTTCCTCTTTGATTGAAGTATTCGTAATGTCATCAACATTTCTCGCCTCATTTCGGCTTGGTGTTCTTTCAACATACTGGTATTTTGCAAGCCGTAAGTGCTGAACTACCGCTTACACCAAGCCAAAACGGTCTCGGAGCTGGGTTCGATACAGATTGACAGTTTTTCAGTCAAAAACTTCTACGGACCTTCATAATTCTCTCTACTGGCATCGACGTTGCATCAGAACCCGAGTTGATTTATACTCATGGCTCGAACGATCCTATACAATGTAGCACGGAGGTTGGTGGACTGGAGTCCTACTGAAAACCGCATTCGAGAATAAGCTCATGTGGTTTGATAGGGCCTTCAATTATTCATTGAGAAATGATGATTAGCCGGACTGTGCCCCCAACGCACTTCTCTGCCACTGGGGTGTGCGCAGTTGCAGCACTAATCATATCGTGAGTTCGGGATAACCGCTTAACTTCAGTCGTACATTGAGGACGGGCAAGTTTTGCTTGAGTGCCTCAGTACGATGACTGTTCGTCCGTACTAACTAGTATGTCTCAGCAAGCGACAGCGAACAAGTGCTTCTGCAATAAGCGTTAGAGATAAGATCCATAGAATTTCCGGATTGTGCTTGCCCGAGTCGAAGCCTTTGGTGAGATGTCGACGTGTGTTAGCCAGCCCTACAACATTACCTCCAATGAGGTGACACTTCATGATTGTGGCACATACATTTGTTCGCATAAACAATTTTACGGGGTGAACAGCTTCCTGTACAGGACTGTGTGCTTTTGTCAATATTCTTTCAGCCCTATGGTTTGTAGAAGGCTATTGACAACGCCAATAAATGAGATTGGAATGTAAAGGAAACTACTCACAAGGTTGCTGGAAACTCTTTTACAGCCCACGACTGGTTTCGCTCTTGGGGCTCATCAGGTAGGCACAGTCCCCGAGTTTCAGTCAACCTTATGTTCTACTTGAACTGAAACGTGCTGCTCTGAATCAAACGGTGATTTCTGTCTGAAGATGGAACTCCCTCGCATTGGCATCTCCGCTGTTCATTTCTCCGGCGTGCACAGGACTTATGTGACACTAGGATGAAGGTTTGTGCTCTTGTCTTGCTAACAACAGTTGTTTCTGAAGATGGAACTACCTCGCATTGCATCTCCGCTGTTCATTTTTCCGGCGTGCACAGGACTTATGAGACACTAGGATGAAGGGTTGTGCTCTTGTCTTGCTAACAACAGTTGTCTCTTCTTGAGAGTGTTAGTGCAGCAGCGTCCAACATATCCCGCCAAATTTTACATGACTGAAGGTATGATCAGTTCTCATCTGGCTGCTGGCTCCCATTAAGGCCACATTAACACTGCTCCTCAGTGAGTGTTACCACTTGAGTGGTTTCAGCCCTACTAGGGTACATCAGATCTATGTATCCCACTAAGATCCGAGAGGAATCGAACTTGTAACCTTTCGAACAGATGTAAAAGTTGTGCTTGTGGTTAATCTGCAGCGATTCATAAGGTGCACACTGCCGGTAATTACCAACATGGATGTCGCAGCGTGGATAAACTTTTCTTTTACTTGTGGAACCTCGATTTGCATGTACATTCGGAGCGTGTTTGAGTGGATGCGTAAGATTTTTCCTCCAGCAGACTGAGTGATGCGATGCTAGTTGTGTGTCCCAATAAGCCCACAACAGCAAGTGGACCACCAAATCCAAAGTCTCTGAATAATTGACTGGAGTCGTGAAGTTTCCTTTGCGTCCACTCGTATCACGTAATAAGTTAGTCGTCCGCTTTTTGCATGAATTTTCCTTCGTTCATTTCTACACTGCGTGTTTCCAATTCCGCACAGGTCGTAAGCAAGGCATTCGGCAGTGTTCAATCTCTATTTGAAAATCGTCCTTCCGTGGAGTGCCTCTCCGTGGACCTCGCTGCTCGTTTACTGACCGCATTGTACACATACCGCCCAGGTGATCCGGCCATATTTGAAGTTTCCACCGCGGCCACTGATGCAAAGACGGGATTCACCGGTGTGGAAGTGCTTGTCTCATGGATTCGTGCTGTTCGTGCAGGCTGCTCTTATTTATGTGATTTGACCAGTCGGGTATTCGATGATACGTCCGATGCAGTGAATCGAATTGGAGTTCAGCGCCTAGCTTTGGAACACTTGGATCGCTTAATAAAGGGACTTTTAGATCTACTGATGACAACACCTCTACCGAAACTGCGGAAAACTGTTTCGGACATTTTGGATAGCATATTTATCCATGAATTCGTAAGTATTCCTTTGGTATTTAAGAAGTTGTGTGATCGTCTGTCCGGTATCATATCAGTTTCTGCTAGCATCCTTTGTAATATTTCGGTTGATCCCAGTTGTCCAGTGTAGCCTACTGCAGCTGGCCGCTCGGAGTCTACTTTTGATATTTGGATGAGCGGGTCGTTGACTACTTCGAACTTCCATCAAAGGGGTCAAAACTAACCGAATCCGGTGGATTACGATCTTATTTTTACCTTTTGTCTTGCGGGTTATATCCTTCAACCAAATGCTTTCTGTCAGACCCATTATTTGAGCTACTGTCCTGGGAATGAGCACCCTCGATCGCATTTTCACTGCTTTTAAATTCTATGAACCCTACATTGCGGATGATTTGAGAGATTTGCTAAATTCGCTCGTTTTATATCATTTTGGCGGGCTTCCTGAGACTAAACTCCAGTGTTTTATCAAGCGCTTGTGTATTTTATAGGCAAAGAGAAGACGCATATTCAAAGGTATCTCCATAAATGAACTACTGAGAAGATTGAATCAGGAAATTCCTAGTAAAACGGAAAAGGATACGATAAGTTGGAGCATGTCATTAGCGGAGAATATTGGAAAGTCAGTGAAGTCCGGCTAGTAAAGGTTGATCTGAGTCTTGTAAAGTTTTCGGAATATGACAATCGAGAACATAAATGAAGTCAGAACATATTCCAAAGGGTTCCAAAGGCTCCAACTCTGGAGACTAGCAGACAGAAACATAGTTCTTTGTGACATTGGAGGGTTGGAATTTGGAAGGGTCACTAGTGGAGTGGGGAGAGCGAGTAACCGAGCGCTATGACAAGGAGACGAGGAAGGGAAGTCGGACTTAGCGCATAGCATGCTGGTAACAATAGGACGGAAGGGCAGGCGATGAGGTTCTACTCCTATTTACACATTACCTAGAATTTAAAGATGTATGCAGGTAGAAGCAATATTCCGTAACGAGATGAATCTGTCATCTGTACCAAAGTGGTTCATTTAGGGAACAGTTAAAATGGCCGGCAAGGAAACCTTGTTTTCAATAAGGGTTGGTGAGTGTAATACTAATTTAGACAACATTTCACTTCTGACACAAAGGCTTAGTCTGGCGAGGTCTATCGAATTCCAAGTCAAACGGGGGACCAGTCGACAAAGCTCCTTTCAATTTGTAGAGTGACCCTATTCTAAACCCCATTTCAAAAGTGCTCTTGGTCGTTATGGGTGGCTACGACTGATGAGTTGGGGAAAAGAGAATCCGGCTCATAGCCTGTTCCCTTCGGTCAGCTAGTCAACAGCCAGTATACTCACTTGAGCTACCCTTATTCGGACATATTGCCAAGGTAGCATCAAGATCCAAGATACATGAGTTTGCGACGGCAGGAATATCAGGAGCTGTTAGAAAGACATTGAATATGACTAACAGGGAGTGATGCTTTTGGAGGAAGCTGTGCCCAACAGTGGTGCAGGTATAGGATCGCCCCAATCGATTGTACAACTCACTATGGATACGAAATTAAACGTATCGACTGCATGGCGATTTACATCAGACAAACAGTCAGGGAATTGCGTACCAGGATCGGAGGACGCGAGCGTCCGGCAAACAAACATCTATGGGACTCAAATGAATATCAGGCGAGCCATTTGCAAGACACTGGACACGGAATAGTTATGGAAAGGTCTGGAGGTTTTGAGACAATGACAGCATTACGATTGATGGCTGAGGTGGTTGAAATCGTCTAGCTTCGCGGCGTGAACAGAGTAGGGTATGCAGAACTGGCAAGTATGTGGAAAGTGGTTTCATACCAGCCAATTTTATGCGTGTTGCCTTGCGGCTATGCAGGAGTTTCTTGCACAATTGTGAACTCTAGATAGCTCAGTGGTTAAGGCACGAACTTACCGACCGCAAGCTCCGCAGTTCGAACTCAACACTGGCTTCTTGATTGCTCCTGTCTAGCTCGTGGCAGTCAGTCCTCGCGCTTCTTTTGCGTTGCATGGGAGCTGTGTACCGGAAGAATACCGCAGCTGAGCGGTATTTTTTTTTAAATAGCAGGGTATCTGGCCGGCATTACTTTTTAAATAGCAGGGTATCTGGCCGGCATGGGTTCTATGCTATACCAGCAGACACCATACCTATAAGCGGAAAACGTGCCACTTTCCATGTCCTTCAAACGAACACTTTGGAAAGTACTGATACTGCTAAAATATCCGACTGAAGGTTTGAGAAAATCTTCAACCGAAATCATATGCAAGTTTAAGGTGTTCAGGTGTCGAAGTCAGCCGCAGCGTGGGATCATTATGCACCTAGTCTTGTTAACCGTTCTCCATAGTATGAGTCAGACGCACCTACCAATCGGGCTGTGATGGGATTCCGTGAATGTAAACTACAATATTATTGAAGCATTGAACTCACCTTCCGGGCAGCATATTTTCATCCGGTGTGCAGAGTGCGGCTGCCTTTTCCTCCATAGTTTTGCTTTCAGCGGGTTGTACGTGAGTTTAGGGTAGCTATTTTTTCATTGATATCATTTAACGGTTTTTTACTCTCACTTGTTCGCAGTTCTTGACATAATCAACCCACTTTCCTGTACTAGGATGCTCTACTACTTTCAACTGATCTCCGGAGTCATCTACGCCCCGTGTTGATAGCCATCACCAATAAACTTGGCGAATGCATGAGACTTTCACGGTACGAAACTTGGGTCTACGCTTTGGCACTCACAGCTCGGCTACTTCGCATTTGGCCACGTATTCAGGAGGGGCCCGACCACGGCATCGATTCCGCCCTGTGTCAGTTGCTGAAACAATTGGCGCAGCTACGCGACAGTCTGGTTGATGGAGCTGGGAGCTTGGCACAGTTGATAGAAATGAATGCTGTGGATCAGGATCCGATGAGAGTTGTGGATACACAGCTCGAAGAATCGGTGATTGATGAACTGGATCGTGTTTGCCTCGTGGCGTTGGAGTCGTTCGGTCCAGAAGTTATCCTACAGAAGGAACTGCTTTCGGTCGAACCGTTAGTTGAAGAGCTGTAGGTTGCCCTTTAGTCTACCCGTTTGTCTCGAAACGAGCTGTGGTTTTCTTCACACTTTATGGTGCATGTTTCTCGACTCGATCCTAAAAATATCCCGAATCACGAAAACAAATTTAACGTCTTTAATTCAGGACTTTATTCGGAAGGAATTCGGGCCATCCGAACACAACTCCATGATGGTGTTTATTCGGCTACCCGGGCCCCGCACGACCACCATCGTGCTATTCTTCAATGGTGAACCTGCAGCTAAGCTCCACGTACCAAATGGCAGTTGGACATTTCTTAGTTCCATCATTGATCTCTTTTTCTAAACCACACTCTGTTAAGCTTTTGTCGGGATGTACTGAGAAAACTGTTTTTGAAGCGTTTGCTTGTCTGGCACCCGATTTAAAGTGTGCAGTGCATGTGTGTGCATGCAGGCTTGTGTGGGCGTTTTTGTTTTTCACAGTGTTGCTACGTAGCCAACGGAAGGAAAGAGCCAAAATGGTGCAGCAAGGGATTATCGTCTATATTCTTTGCATAGTTTCATTCCATCCGTAGCAGATACCAAACACCGTTTGCATGTCTTGCTCCTGCCAAACTCCGGCTTGATTTCGGAATTTGGCCTGTTGTTCACGTAAACTAGAGGACACCAAATGAGCTTACTTTGACTCGGTGGTTGGGTTATGCAATCGGAAGGCACATACTTTGTCTTCTTAAATTTGCAGGGCGTATTGCGTGATACCACCGCCCACCTCTTAAAGTAGCGCGGTTATACGACAGTTAATGGAAGATGGGCTGGGAGTAGATAAATTCACAATCCTTTTCGATGAAACCACGTTCCAAAGCAGGTATTTAATAGTGGAATGCTGTATCTATTTCTCTTCTTTTTCCAGTTCTGATATGTTTATGCTTATTGTATGAAGAACATACCACTCGTGCTCAGACAAGCACTATTATGTATATGGTAAATAGTCCCCTTCATTTGTTTTAGTGAAAACGGTGTCGTCGAACTTCGACGCTCGTGGTTTCTACCTCTCCTGGCCCGCGCCCAACCCGCAAACCCCTGCCGCCTTAGTTTCTTTGTCAGTCACATCCTAACTCTGGTGGATCGTTCCCTGGCCGTCGCCAGGGACGTAAGCACGTCCAGCATACCGACTGCCACAATCAGCTCGTTGATCACCGCAGGAGTTACCGTCGCTCGTCAGCTATGGGCCGGTCTAAGCATGTTTGTACGACATGCTCCCCTGGATTGGTCCGAATTGTCTGTTGGTGGCTTCGGTCGTCGACTGGTCAATGAACTCAACAATGCACCTGCCTTGCGGCCCATTATCTTGCTGGCTTTCCGTCGATTGGCGAAGTTCGCGTACGAAAATGGTGAGTATTGCTATATTCCGCTGTCCGGACCGCTCGTTGTCAAATTTCTCCAAGGCTCTGCCTTTTATTCCTCTTTCTGGTGATATCGTCAGTCCTGAACTGTACACACTTGTCCCAAGGAACCTTAACTAGCCACTTCCCTTGCTTTCATTTTGTCGTAATGAGGTTGACTTGCTATTAGTGACCACAGAATTTCGAGCCTGTTGATTGTATGTGGGAATTTGGCGATTCCAAACCTGCTAATTGTCAGTAGTTTAGAAGGATATGCATTGCCTGATAGAAGGATGAATAGCTCCGTATCACCAAACGGTATGGTAGACGAGGGTTGCGAGTTCGAATCGTTCGCGAGATTAGTGATATCTGCACTATTCATCATCCCCAACAAGGATGAGACAACTGTATAGTGTCTTTCAGCTTTTTCGAATAGATTGATTCCAGTTACTGGATGAAATCTTGACTGGAATTCCAACTTCATAACGTGAACTACGTATTATTTGGGACGTCCAGGTTAGGTTTCAATGTGGTGGATGGGAGAAGCCGCCAAGAAGCTCAGTGGAACCTTCGAACTATCCAGGAAGGCTCTGTGTGGCTGACAACCCGTTTTTCTCATATCAGTTGTACAGATACCTGTGGTTACTAGGCTACTGGTGCTTCCTCCGGGTGAACTTGCTGAACAACAACGACGGTATGTGTGAAGTCTCTTAGTGTCGCACTTTGCCCTACATGGGTTGGAAACCTGGGCACCATAGTGTGTTATGATCACTGATATTGCTCGATCATGCTGAATGGTTTCACTTGGTGATAGTTCATGAATAGCGATGGGTTGCAGTGTTCTTGATGGGCCATTTCGTAGAGTCTTTCCTCCCAAATACGTTCTTTGCTGAAACCATCTAGTGGTGCTCGACTAACGAGTTCACAGTAGAACATAAAATTCATACCTAGAACCCTATCTTTCTTTGACACTCCGCCTTCCAGGATGTATCAGTGGTTGGGGATTTTAGCTTGCGCCGTTCTGCTCCATATCCATCTGTCTGTGTTGTACCCTTCAAGACTATCATCTTCTTGTTCATAATAAAAAAACCACTTCATTTAGTGTGCCGTCTATCCTAGGTCTACATGTCCATCTATTGTCGGTGACGTATAGTTAGCCTTTCCAATTTTCGTCGAAATCGAGGAACAGAACAAGCAGCTGGGGTCTCTTTTGGACTCTTCAGGAGCCATACGGTAACTTTCTGGAGTTACTTCTAACTCAGCGGACCGACAGCCTGGCCTCATGCAAGGACTGTTAGAAGTCTCAGACCCTTTAAGGTTTGTTATGAATACCCTTGAAGTCTCCCGAGCTTCCGGTTTCCCATAGAATGAGTGTCGAGTGCGATCAGTCCCATCAGCTTCCTTATATTAATAAGGTGTAACTATAGTTGATTTGGACGTGTCAGAGATTTCAGTGTGGACGAATGGATTACAACAACTCAAGACCAAACTACTTTTGAACGGGCGCTTCTTGAATTCATATCAAAGATTAACCATGGTTTAAACAAAGGGCCTGGCAAACTGACCAAATGACTTGAAGCGACGGACCACCTCAGTCTCCCGTAGTTTTGATTGGGGTACTTATCTCGGACGATAGAGTGAGACGCCTATCTACTGATTGCCAAGACCGTTCGCTCGAGAACTATCCGATGTGATGCTAACGTTGAACTGATGTTACACTAATCTGGTGTAAAGTAAACTTAAGAACAAACTCAATAATGACCGCAGGCTTGTAGGTATCCTAGTCTACATTTTAGTTTTTGTGGCTCTAGGTCCCACCACTCAACTGTCTGCTCGCTCAACTACACTACTACCCCTTGTTTGTACCTTTCAGACACTGGTTTATCTGCTATGCGTGGTGGCTCCAAACTAGCAATTCCAGTCATGTTATCGTTGTACGAGCACGCGATGCTACCGAAAGATCTGACGCTGCAGCAACAAATTCGAGCCACATTGAATGCCTACTTGCCCTGTCTCACAGCCAAAGTGAGTGGTAATTGATTTTGGAAGCACACAACTATCCAGATGCTTCACCACTGTCTTTTAGAACAAATATGCCATTTTAACAAATGCGAGATTTACGATTCAGACTGATTGGGATGTGTTCATTTGGGCACTTTAGTACCATGTACAACTATACCATTCTATAATGGGTTACGAACTACCGTAGATTCACTCACTGCAAATCCGCCGTCTTATTTGTGAATGCAACTCGTTACACGATCCTAGTTTCGCAGAATATCATACGCCTACGGCGTATCTATGAGAAAGTCATCTACAATGACCCTGTGTCTGATTTCTGCTCGGTGGATGCGACTTCCTGTGAATGCAATTCAGTTTCGACTGTCAGATGTCTCAATCTCCGTCTTACTTTTACATGCATGTGCGCGAAACGTTTCGAACTTCATATTTCACCCTCTTCTTGTGACACTGCCTTGTCACACGCTGCTGTTACTTACCATTTCATTATTCCGTTATCCTTGCAGATGATCGCTGCTCCTGCCGCGGTGGCTCTGCAAAAACTCAATTCTACTCAAAAGTATGTTCACGGTTTAGCGGTTTTGTGCTCATAAGCTTGGGTCATGCAAGTATCTCGGTTGTTTGTGGTGGATTCCTTTACCTTTAGCTAAATAACTCGCAATGTTTGTACGGCAATTCAGCCTAAGAATCCTCACTGTCAGTGATGATGATGAGGATGGGTGAGGTTAGTGAGGATGAGAAGAAAAACGCATCAGTGAATGGCGTTTGACATTCGCTCCTCAGTTCGGGCGGATGGTCTCAACTAAACGGATTGTACTCAAATCAGGTGATCGGTGGTCTGTTCATAACAAAATCCCTTCCATTTTGTACATAGAACAAATGTAGCAGTCACCGAATCTCCAAACTGTATTGCGTTGCTAACGTTACTGTTGACTTTTCGCCGGGATATCAATGACCTTGGTTTATTCTCTACGTGATATACGAACCACTGCCATGATTTCCCTGGTAGGCAAAACGAAATGAAACCTCTCCGTGTCCCTCCGTTAAGTGCCCGTCGGTGTTTCTTGGCTAAGCACTTGAATATGGAAAGTTAGGAAATCAAAAAGTCTGCTTCCAAAGGCCTAAAACTCGATCTGAAGACAGCATGGAAATAAACCCTCTCAATTTAGGGCTATTATAGCAACATAAGGTTAATCCCGATGTCATAACCGGGGCATTCGTCCCTCTGTACAGGGAACATTTGAACGAATCAAAAGTAGCCCCTTTGAAAGATCCAAACAAGCTTTAAAGAAGCGACCAAAAGGTGTCTCTGGGACCCTGTTATACTTCCCTATCGTTAGCTTCCCTTGCACTGTTCATAGCTCGTCTTCTGTCACAACTGTCCTTCACAAATCTGGTTCGATATTCAGATCATCTTCAGCAAGCCATGTTTTCAACTTTCAAACCTTCTGCTCTGGGGTACACCATCGAAGTCGGTCAGTACTGGTAAATGCTGTAGGGTTTTTGTCATTTTTTCACCTGATAACTATTTTTGTACTGTTATGGAGCCAGCATCCGAGTATTTGTCACAGTGGCGCGTTCATCTCCTAGAAAGATCAACACCTCCCCGTCTACCGTATGAACCGAACCAACTGCTGTTCACGTCTCCTAACGCATTCGTCGTACAGTACCCAGATGTTTGGAAATCCAGTTTCGGAACTCGAGCATTTATTTCTAGCAAATTATGGAGATATTCTATCATAGAGTGTTCCGTACTGGGAATGACTGAGTTTATCGAAATAGTGGAACCGCTGAGGTGAGAGAATTCTGGAATCGACTGGTTCCTGCTTTCCCATAGATCGGTTACTACACATGTCAGGAATCTAAACACACTAGTCGGGAACGTCCTGGAACGCAGCGTTGACACTTAGTTGCTGGTACTTAGCATTTCTCAGGTCCTAGTCCCCAAGGTTTTTTTGTGGATTTGCACTGTAGCCCAGCTGTGGGCCTTCACTTTGGCTTAAATGCTAGCCAGTTATTGACTTACGTTATCTGGTCCCAGGTACCATCTCAACCGCTCAGCTCAAAGGAATCATCTGTTGTTATTGCCCACTTCATTTTACACTTCACCGAAGGATTTCATATGCGCTTGACATTTACTGCTTTGGTCATCGACCATACAAAATTCACAGTCAGGATCTGCCTTCATGTTTCGTGCTATTCTTTTCGAAAGAATTGTGTGCTGTGGAGTGTCCCCTATGAGCCACTTGTCACCCTTTGTATAGGATTTCGGGGCTTGGAGCTTTTACCATCCTGCTATTCTTGTTTCGTTACGCAGCCCAATCTATCTGGATATCTTGCAAATTGTCATTCCCCACACAACGTCCGAAGAAATTGAGCAATTCTTGCCAAACATCATCCCATTTCTGTCGGTAAGTACGCTAGTAACAGGTCAGTTGGTAAAACTCTCAGCTTAAACAAACTTGATCCTTTTTAGTCGCTTTTGAGGAGAGCGAGGCTAAGGCCATATCGGCCGTTCGTCTCATCTAGTTTCTACAAGTACGTACAAACTTCATTAGATCAGACAACTCATCTAATGGGCTTCTTGGGTAGTATGCCACTGTAGCCTCTAAATCCTCTAATCTAACGGGCGTTTATTTTCCTCCGAAACCGCACCGATTCGATTTCAGTTCAACGCGTCTGCTAAAATCGCCTTCGACTTTGAAAGATCTCACCTACACTGCTCTAGTGTCTCAAGATCTTCAATCTCGGACAACTGGGGTGTGCGAATAATTTCAAGGTACTGTAAATTAGCTGGACACCCTACTCGACTCACGGTTCGAGTGAACACCAGCTATGCGAGGTGTCACTAGTGAGTTGTGTGGGGCATTTAGATGGCAGACCGAGCCGTGGATACAGCACTGACGAACGTTTTTCGCTGATCATGCGCACAGCTAACACCATCTAAACGTCAAGCAACAGTTATCCAAGAGTGTGACAATAGATACAGAAAACCGGTGGAAATCCCAAGCGGAAAGGATAGAAGCTGAATGACATTATATATAT